TGCAGTAACGTGTATGAGCAGCATGCTACATATAAGTGCACATTTACTCTTTAAAGCAGTGGTGGCCAACCTTAACGCCAACAAAATACATTTTCTTGGTTAAATATTTCATGATTTATGCCATACACACTACCAATCGAACACAAACTTGTGCAAATGTTTGGAAGGGTGTGGGATGTGGGAGAGAGCTTCTTGAGCACCCCACAGGCACAGTTTGGCCACCACTGGTTTACATTAAAAAAGTGTAATATTACCCCTGATAATTGTTGTGCTGTTAGCCTGGGATTTACTGCACATTGACCTCAAACCTACTGAGTACTGACCTACAACAATACATTCATTTAGAAATGAGAAAAAAATCAGATCAACAAATAACACCAACAATCTGCATTTATGTAATGACTTTCACGTAGAATAATGTCTTGAAGCATTTGCAAAGACAGAGACGGATGCCTAGGAGGGAGGAGGGGAAGAGAGAGACGGGAACAAAGACATGATCACAGAGGTAGGGTTTAAGGAGGGACTTTAAAGGCAGGGGTAGGGGGAGTGGGAGGTCTACCTGTTCAGGTGCATGTTAAAGATTCCATGGCAGTACTTGAAAAGAAAAGGGCATGTCTCCTCATATACTGTCTGACAATTCCCCAGAGAAAATTGATCACTCACTTCATGGCTATTTCTGGGACATTGATATGCTTAAATTGTCTCCAGCATTTGTCTACAAAATATACAGTCAGTAAACCTTAAAGTAAATTGTGTGAAATGCTTTGACATGTTTCGACATGATTAGACACATATGAAATGAAAAGATTGTTATTGTTTTATTACATTGGTAAAGTGCTTTGGCACATCCTTTGAGTTAAAAATGCTGTATAGATGTAAGCTGTTATTCCCATTATAGATAATCACTGTACATCAGTGAATCTATCAACACTTCAGTTTTATAGCTTGAACCATGTCAGTTTTCTTGTGTTACCTGATTGTACAGAGGAATCTTCTTTGCACTATGTATTGTGCAGTATGGCTATAGAAAATGATGGGATTGAAAGTGCAGTGTTCACAGACTGGAAATCACTCCCCTCACTGTGAATTCCATTTTGTGACCGAAATTGCAGGATTTGCCACAAAAATTTCAAACAAAATCTCGAGACTTTTCTCTGAAAGAAATCTCAAATAAAGCATGGTCAGGAAGGCCTTTGAAACCCCTGGAGAATTGTGATATTTATGGAATGAATTTGGTTAAGAATCACACCACTTCAGGGCAGAACAGAAGTCACAAATAGTGTGATAACTTCTGGTTTAAGATTTCACCTCAATGTTCATATCAATGCCACAACATCGCAAAACATGTTGCACTAATTATTAAAGGGAGGCAGAACCCACAGCCAATAAGAGAACATTGTGTCACTGTTGATTGATTGCAGAAGTTCTTAGACAATCATCCCTTTTATTACACAGGTTAGTTCCAGACTGGAGCCTATGTGTAACATTCAAACGAATTACGAAGAAATTCATTGTAAAGTTGAGGAAAAGAACAAGGCAATGATTAGTGCATCAGCTTTTATTCCAAGTAAATAATTATCATGGCCTGAGACACATAAACAGCATTATGAAAATGAAATCCATTATTTGTTGTCTGTTTGCATTATTTCACTGTTCACTACATGAGATGTTTTGGGAAGAATCCTCAGTGGAGATACCTTGTTTGGGGTCACACTGAGTATGAAAGGGAGCATTGAATGCTGCCCCAACACTTCCTTCAAGGCTTACCTTCAACTCACTCTATGAAGTCTAGTAAAGCATCATTATGCTACACGAAGGAGCACTGCAGGACTGTCACTGCATGATGATTTAAATTACATCAGCTAGGGAAATGGCATAAAACATACTGCATGTCCCTGATCTCTTCTGCTCCCATTGGCGACATTGCTTTCAGCTACTATGCCCTGAAACTCTGCCTCAATCCCTTCACCTTGCCCCCTCCTTGCCCATTTTCAGATCGCACCTGAAGACCTTCTTCTCCTCTCTCCCTCTGGTTTAGCATCAAGCTCTGCCACTGTTAAGCACTCCAAGATCCTACCCTGTGTGAAGGCCATGATATAAATGCACGGTGGCATTGTTGTTGAGAGATGAAGGGCATCATTTGGCCAATCTGTCTTTTACCTGTTGGCTTTATAATAGATATTTATCTCCCACCTCATTGCCTGTAACTGAGGATTTGATCTCCCCTGTGGACTTCACTGAACATCTTCTATTTTCTATACCTTTTCCTCAGATACATCAAATTTCTCCTGCTGAGAAGAAATCTCTTCTTTTAAGATTACGGTGACTTATTGTTATGAATATGAAGTCAAAGATATGGCCAAACTACCTGTGAAGATACAATATGATTTTGCTTAATTCAGATGGAACTATTTGGAAACTGAAGATGAACATTGTAATAAAGCTTCAAAGCAATTGATCACAAAGGCACTGACCTCTTCAATTTGCATTAATGAAGCATGAACTGCAAATCATAGAATCATAGAATTATACAGCATAGAAGGAGGCCATTTGCAAACTTGTCCTCCCCAAATAATTATCTACTTTTCTCTTAAAAGTTGTTATCAAATTGGCTCCCACCACCCTTTCAAGGCAATGCATTCCAGATCCCAACAACACATTGTGTGAAAAAAGTTCTCCTCACCTCCCCTCTGTTTCTTTTAACAACTATTTTAAATCCATGTTCTCTGGTTTCCGAGCACCCGCCAGTGGAAATAGTTGCTCCTTGTTCACCCTATCAAATTCCCTCATAATTCTCTAGCCTCTTCTGATAACTGAAGTCCCTCATTCCTGGTACCATCCTGGTAAATCTCTTTTGCACCCTCTGCAATGCCTTGACATCCTTCCTAAAGTGTGGTGCCCAGAACTGAACACAGTCTCTAGCTGAGGCCTAACCAGTGTTTTATAAAGGTTCATCATAACTTCCTGACTTTTATATTCTATGCCCCTATTTATAAAGCCTCGTATCCTATATGTTTTTTTAGCAGCTTTATCTACCTGTCCAGCCACCTTCAAAGATTTACTTATATGAACCCCCAGGTCTCTCTGTTCCTTCATCCCCTTTAAGATTGTACCATCAGCTTATATTGCCTCTCCTCATTCTTCCTCCAAAATGCATCAATTTGCATTTTCTCCACTTTAAACTTCATCTGCCACGTGTCTGCCCATTTTACCAGTCTGTCTATGTCCATTTGCAGTCTGATACTATCCTCCTCACTGTTTACTACTTTTCCTAGCTTAGTATCATCTGCAAACCTGGAAATTGTACTCCCTCTACCCAAGTCCAGGTCATTTATATAGATCAAAAACAGCAGTGGTCGCAATACTGACCCTTGGCAGGGCACCACGGCACACTTCCCTCCAGTCAGAAAAACAACCATTCACCACCACTCTCTGTTTTCTATCTCCCAGCCAATTCTGTATCCATGCTGCAACTATCCCTTTAATACTGTGGTCTTCTATTTTGCTTGCAAGTCTTGTATGGGCACTTTATCAAACATCTTTTGAAAATCCATATAAACTACCTTCATCCACCCTCTCCGTTACTTCATCAAAAAACTCTATTGGGTTTCTTAGACATGATTTGCATTAACAAATATGGTTGATTATGTTATGATTTTGAAATCCATATTGCAGACTATCTAATAATAACAGTTATGACTTTTTCACAGTTATAATTGAGGTGGTTCATACAATGAATGGTTCAGGTCTTATCTCTCACACCATCTCCAATTTGTCTCCACCAACGGTTTCTTTTCTATCCCCCGCGCAGTCTCATGTGGTGTTCCTCAGGGTTCTGTCCTCGGTCCCTTCCTCTTCAACCTCTACATGCTTCCCCTTGGTGACATCATCTGCAGACATGGGGTCAACTTCCACATGTATGTGGAGCACACCCAGCTCAGGCTGTCTGTCAGACATCAAGTCCTGGATGAGAGCCAACTTTCTGCAGCTGAATATCAGCAAGACTGAGACCCTCCTCACTGGCGCCAGCACCTCCGCACCTCAGGCACTGGCAGCATCAACATCCATGGATGCACACTCCACCTCACCAAACCAGTCAGGAACTGACCATCTTGTTCGACCCTCAACTGTCCTTTCTCCCCTATATCCGTGCCGTGATCCGCTCTGCCTTCCTCCACCTCCGCAACATTGTCTGACTCTGCCACTGCCTCACTGCTCAGATCGCCAATACCCTCATACATGCATTCGTCACTGCAAGACTCGACTACAGAAACTCGCTCCTTGTCAGCCTCCCAACTCTTCCCTCCACAAACTGCAGATCATCCAGAACTCTGCAGCTCATGTCCTCTCCCGCACCAGGCTCCATGACCCCATCACCCCCACCCTCTCTCGGCTCCACTGGCTCCCCATCCTCAGAGGATAGAATTCAAAATCCTCATTTTCACTTTCAAGGCCCTCCATGGCCTTGCCCCCTCCTACCCCTCTGACATGCTGGCCCCTATCAAGCTGTTTGCTCCCTCCATTCAGCAGGCTCCAGCCTGTTCCATGACTCCCGCCCGACCCACCCTACCATCAGCAGCTAGGCTTTCAGCCTCTCTGACCCCACCCTTTGGAACTTCATCCCACAATCCCTTTGCCTTGCTCCGTCCCTTGTCTCTTCAACGCACAACTCAAGACCCTCCTTTTCGACCATGCCTTCAGCCACCCTCCTACCTCTTTGCCCTCCATCATCCCAACCCTGCCCTCCCACACCCCCACGCCTGGGTCCTGATCCCTGACTGTTCAGTACCTTGGGATGTCCTCCCGACATGAAGGCCCTTTACAAATGTAATTTTGTTGTTGTATTTTGCATATTTACAACTCGCTGTACAAAGTAAATAAAATCTCTAGCTTTATATCAGATTACCACCTTTGCTCTTGGCTTTTGTCAAAGTCGCCTTATTTTGGATTTTTGTTTGACGTGTTAACACAACATACAAAACTAAAGAAAAGCTACTTACTAAATTAAGGAATGTGAGGTATTTCCACTGTCCAGCATACAAAAACACTCCAGCGGGCGGATGTTCTATTGGAATAATAAGAAGCAAGTAAACTATAGCAAAATACCATATGAAGGTAGAGATATGATAGACTTTAGTCACTGCCATTGACGCCATGTTTGTTCCTTGTGCAGGAGAAGGAGCAGGAGCGTGATACTGTAATCTTCTAATCTCACTGGCCGTTACCATTTACCATGAGAAACAGGGTGGGCGAGAGTTTGAGATTTATTTAAACAAGACAGCTTTAACTCGGAAATGAATTGCCATTTAAAGGTATTGTCCTAAGACGTTATCATCTCTAAAGTTAAGCTGTTACATAATTACAGAATAGTTTGAGCCTGCCAGAGCTCAAAGAATAATCTTGATTCACAATCTCAAATAGACTAGCCAAGGTCATTTATAATCCATGGATGTGTTATGTAAATCAGAAACAATGAAGTCCTTGTGTGTTAATACTGTTGTTGATGGTATGATTTTGTGCATTTTATTTAGTGTTTCCAAATGCAAACCAGACCATTTACAGACATCCTAACATCTGCTCTGTATGTTAAATAACAGTTGTTTTTAAATGCATACTGGTTAAGATTTTCATTGCACAAATATTGTCCATTTAGTAAGTCCATAAAAGGTCTAATTTAGTTAAGGCCTGATTGCGCAAAACAATTTCCTCAGACCACATTGGCATACCACTTAAGAGTTATGTGCCGGTAGCTAGCTACCTGGAGGTAACTCTTAAGAGTTATACCAATGTTATAAATGTTATAGCTAGCTACTGCCAGCAAGCTATAACACTTAACGCTAGCTATAACACTTAATACCGTCCGTCCGTCCGTCCGTCCGTCCGTCCGTCCGTCCGTCCGTCCGTCCGTCCGTCCGTCCGTCCGTCCGTCCGTCCGTCCGTCCGTCCGTCCGTCCGTCCGTCCGTCCGTCCGTCCCGTCCGTCCGTCCGTCCGTCCGGTCCGTCCGTCCGTCCGTCCGTCCGTCCGTCCGTCCGTCCGTCCGTCCGTCCGTCCGTCCGTCCGTCCGTCCGTCCGTCCGGTCCGTCCGTCCGTCCGTCCGTCCGTCCGTCCGTCCGTCCGTCCGTCCGTCCGTCCGTCCGTCCGTCCGTCCGTCCGTCCGTCCGTCCGTCCGTCCGTCCGTCCGTCCGTCCGTCCGTCCGTCCGTCCGTCCGTCCGTCCGTCCGTCCGTCCGTCCGTCCGTCCGTCCGTCGTCCGTCCGTCCGTCCGTCCGTCCGTCCGTCCGTCCGTCCGTCCGTCCGTCCGTCCGTCCGTCCGTCCGTCCGTCCGTCCGTCCGTCCGTCCGTCCGTCCGTCCGTCCGTCCGTCCGTCCGTCCGGTCCGTCCGTCCGTCCGTCCGTCCGTCCGTCCGTCCGGTCCGTCCGTCCGTCCGTCCGTCCGTCCGTCCGTCCGGTCCGTCCGTCCGTCCGTCCGTCCGTCCGTCCGTCCGTCCGTCCGTCCGTCCGTCCGTCCGTCCGTCCGTCCGTCCGTCCGTCCGTCCGTCCGTCGGTCGGTCGGTCGGTCGGTCGGTCGGTCGGTCGGTCGGTCGGTCTGTCTATCTATCTCTAGTCTGTCTGTGTGTACAAATTACACAGCATTACTCTTCATTGAAGAAATACTGTAATATATTCTACTTAAGATTCTGGACTAAAACCTAATGGACAAAATTATATTTGAGGAAGGAACCAAGTGAATCTTATGGCTCTGTCACTTACTGTTCATGAAACTTTCATTAATTATGTGTTTCTGATGATTCAAATATTAATTTCTTGGCTAGTCTATTTGAGATTGGGAATCAAACACATTCTTAATTAATTAATTTATTTGTAAATCTTTAGAAGGGCATGGGAGAGAGTAAGGAATGGGCAGAAGTATAAACACCAGGACTGACTGGTTGGACAGATTAGCCAGCTTCCTTGTAAAGCTTTGTAAATTTTTACTAATCAATTCACTCCAATTATTTGCTTTTTATGTAGAATCATAGGATCTTCCAGCACAGAAAGACGCCATTCGGCCCATCGTACCTGTGCCGGCTCTTTGAAAGAGCTTTCCAATTAGTCCCACTCCCCCATTCTTACCCCATAGCCCTGCAATTTTTCCTTTTCAAGTACTTATCCCTTTTAAAAGCTACTATCGAATCTGCTTCACCAACCTTTCAGGCAGTGCATTCCAGATCATAACAACTCTGAGTAAAAAATGTCTCCTCATCTCCTCTCTGATTCTTTTGCCAATAATCTTAAATCTGTATCCTCTGGTCACCAACCCACCCGCGAGAGGAAGCAGTTTCTCCCTATCTTCTCTATCAAAACCCCTCTATTAAAGAGATAGAGATTTTGAACACCTCTATTAAATCTCCCTTCAACCTTCTCTGCTCTAAAGAGAACATTCCCAATCTCTCCAGTCTCTCTGCATAATTGGAGTCCGTCATCCCTGGTATAATTCTTGTAAATCTCCTCTGCACCCTCTCCAAGGCTCTAACATCCTTCCTAAAGTGTAGTACCCAGAATTGGACACAATACTCCAGCTGAGGCCTAACCAATGATTTATAAAAGTTTAGCAGAACATACATGTTTTTGTTCTATTTATAAAGTCAAGGATCCCATATGCATTTTTAACAGCTTTGTCAACTTGTCCTCCCACCTTCAAAGATTTGTGGATGTGAATCCCCAGGTCTCTCTGTTCCTTCACCCCCTTTAATATTGTACCATTTATCTTATATTGCCCCTCCATATACCTCCTTCCAAAATGCATTACTTCACACTTCTCTGCATTAAATTTCATCTGCCACATGTTGGCCCATTTCACCAGCCTTCTACTATCCTTCTCACTATTTACAACATTTCCAAGTTTTGTGTCAAGTAATTATTAATATCAAATCAAATAGATTTTACAATCTTCTATAGTGAAGATTTGCAAAGAACAAATACACAGTCATTTCACAGTAAATTTGGTAAAGCGCTTTGAGATATCCTTCGGCTGTGATAAGGCGCTATACCAAATGCAAGGATTCTTTTTATTATTAATAATAATATTCAGCATGAAAACAGGCAATAGATCAACCAGTCCATGTCGATATAACAGCATGGATACAACGATTTGACAGAAAATAGACAGATGAAATTTAATGCCCAAATGTATGAGCTGATACATTTTGGGAGGAAGAATGGGAGGAATTATACAGTACCTTAAATGTTAAAATGTTTGAAAAAATGTAAGAATGGAGAGTTCTAGAGGTTAATATACACAAAAGGGGGGGGGAAAGTTGACAAACTGTTTTTTTTTAAATTGTCCAGTTTTGGACCACCCCACAACAGGAAGTTGTGGATACCTGACATCATGGTAGAGACAGAATCCCTATCAGCATTTAAGAGATTTTGATCCGCATAGAATAAAAATACTGTCTACAATACAATAAAAATTTAGATTTGTATTTGTACAAATTTAGCACCTTTCCCGTTGTGAAGCCATCCCAAGGTGCTGGACAGTCTAAAGTTTCCACATATTGCAAGTATTACTCCCAGAAAGCAATTTGCCAATCAACTAATAAACAGGTTACTACTTATTTGCCTAATGTTTGTCCTGCCCGGGAATTGAACCCAGATCCTTTAGCTTACAATGTACACTACAGGACTCCACATTTATATAGCACCTTTCACTTTGGGAGGACATCCCAAGACACTGAACAATTTAAGGTTTGCAGATATTGCAAGTATCAGAAAAGTAGAAATGTAAAAGAGTTTAAGAAAAAAAGCAGGAGAATGGGACTGGATCTCTTTCAGGGCTAGCACTGGCACAACAGGTTGAGGCCTCTTTCAGTGCTGTAAATTCCTATCGATGTTTATTAAAATATCTGTTTATTTAACACTCGCAGTTGTTAAATAATTCTTATAATATTTAGACTTTCTATCATCCTTCACACCTCAGTGGTGCCTTGCAGCTTTATTTCCCCTACTCGGAGAAGCAAAATGTTTGATATGAAGTCAAGAACTATAAAAATGAAGGTACTTACTGCTAGGTAAACAGAGGTGTTTGGAGTAAGGAAACATGCTTAAGATTTGGCCCCGCCTGGGAATCGAATCCAAGTCCTCTCACTAACAAGGCGACCAGGACTCCATTGGATATAATTCTCAGAGCTGTTTAAGGCAGAGGTGCTGCTATTTGTTAAAGTAATCATATAGCATTGTGGCAATAGATGTGGACCGCCTTGCAAATCATCTAGGGTCAATGCAAAGTCCTTCATGGTCAGACTGAGAAATCTGTTTGTTTACAGGGAAAGTGGAGAACTTTTTCTGCTACATTGATAAAACGATTGTTCCATTTTGGGTATATTTTAGAGTACTGTTTCTCTTCCAACAGTGTCTCAAATAATTCTGTAGACAGATTTTCTGATCTTCTATAATCTATCTGCTCACTGACTTCACAGACAGAAACAATTGCGAACAATAACGTTCTAATAGACTGTCTGTTCTCTCTACATTACACTATCATATGTCCCATAAACAGGGCAAATAAAAAGTGTGGAAATATTTGGCAAAAATTGAGAGGCATTTGTCAACTTTTGCAGGAACTTGTGGGGAAGTTTGATAAACTTTGCGGGAAATTCCAAAGGGTTGACTAGTGCTATTGAGAGATGCATTTTTTAAAAAAAATCTGGATTAAAACTATAGATATTTCCTGGACATGTAGTTATGTTTAAAATACTAAAACTATTAATTTGAATAGTACAGCACTTACCAAGAATTTGTTAAGGGAGCTTAGTTTAGGCTGGACACCAGGCAAAGCCGATTTCCTGTTTGCACCACTTTTGCAATCCCAACAGTCCCCGCGCTACGCACGTGTGACTGGATCCGCTCCACCCACAGTAGCAGATTCGAGCAAACAGCGCAAGAGGCTTGGGGCTTAGCACTCTGTGTATACAGATGTGTAGTGGGGCCTATCACACTGTGTGTACAGGTGTGTAGTGGGGCCTAGCACACTATGTGTACAGGTGTGTAGAAGGCCTAGTACATTGTATGTACAGGTTTGTAGCGGGGCCTAGCACGCTTTTCTATTGGCCCGGCCCATAAGGCAGGCGTTATGGTACGATGCAACAGATAATGTACTAAAATAATACTACTGTATAATTGACACTTCA